TAATAATAAATTTTAAAAAATTAGAAGATTTATTAGTGTCATGGAAAGACAGCATAGCAGGGGATCTGAGGAGAGTTCAGGCCCTAAGGCCAGAGGCAGCATGGCAGGGAGGCTCTGAGGAGAATTCAAGCCCATGTGACAGAGTCGGGGTTTCAGAGGAAGCGGGTAGATTCCATGCCACAGGGTTGATGAGTAGTCCGTAGTACAATATATGCTTGTAGTCCAACTGTCTCTGATCCCCAGGTGGCATGGGAAGAGAAGAGGGTCTTGGATTTGGAGGAAGGAATGTGGGACTTTGAGCATGTGAGTGTAGGGATGACGAAAAGGAGCCTATATTAGTTACTTTCCTTATTTCCTGTTGCTGTGATAAAATATTTATTACCAAGGGAACTTATAAAAGAGTTTATTTGAGTTTATGATTCTAGAGGTTTAGAGTCCACAGTGGCAGGCCTGGAAGCAGAGATGGCCAGAGCAGAAAGCCGAGCAATCACATCATCAAGCAGGCATAAAAGCAGAGAGCAATAGGAAACCCTGTAAGGCTTAAGAACTCTCTAAGTCTGCCCCCGGTAATGTGCGTCCCCCAGCATGGCCACATCTCCTAAACCCTCCAAAAACAGCACCACCAACTAGGGATGAAATGTTCAAATACTAGGAGCCTATGGAGGACATTTTCATTCAAACCACCACAGAGCCCGTTAACAGGACACCTACCCTCTAATAGCTTGGAGTCTGTTAGCCTGGGGCTGATACACAGAATCAGCTGCAGATGGCATGCCTGAGCAACATCTGTTCTGGGCTCTGACACACTTGAGCCCAGAGCTTGTTCATGGTGAGCTGACTGTGGAAGGTAATGTGGAAGGATGAGGCTGAAGGGCTGGGCAGGAGCCCCAAGGATGGATCTCTTTCTTCCCCTGCTCTTTCCCTAGACAGGCAGGACTGGCCAATTACTTCTTTTATTTTTATATTTTGTGGTGAGATTGAAGCCAGGGCTTTGTACGTTCTAGGCAAGTGCTCTACTACTGAGCTGCATCTCCAGCCCTCTCTACTTTTTATTGAGACAGGTGCTCTCTTAAGTTGCTCAGGCAAACCTTAAACTCACTCTGCAGGCTTGACTGGCCTTAAACTTGACTTCCTTCTGCTTCAGCCTTCCTGGCAATTGAGGTTATAGTCCTGTGCCCCCAGACCTGGCTTGGCATCCATGGGCTATCTGAAGGAAGTGGACTCCACCAAACCTAGAGTGGGCCACAGAGGCACAGACTAGAAGATAATCCCAGAAGTCTGTTTTAGGAACCAAGGGATGGACAGAGGGCTACAGTGGGGGGCATTCCAGGAGCAAGTGTGTATATTTAGGCATGTTGAGTTTGTGGTGCCTGGGAGGTTCCCCTCAACTGTGAACTCCATGGGGACAGATCCTGGGAACAGTCTGTCCTGTTAGCCTGGCTTCCAGCAGAGACCTTGTCACACAATAGATGAGTAAATAGGCAATGGCCCCAGAGTGGTCTGGGCTGGACACAGGTCCACGAGGGTGAGGTCATTGAGGGCAACAGATTAAGGAAACAAAAGGTCTCAGGACACTATAGGGTAGAACTTGCCCAGGGTTGGTTTGATTAGAGAAGGAGCTGGGGCTGCAAAGGACCAGCTTTTGCCTATGCCGTAATCATCAGGGTATCCAGAGGGAACTGGAGAGCCATGGCAGAATTAAACAGAAGAATGATCATGTCTTTTGTTTTTTTATGGGTTTTTTTGTTTGTTTGTTTGTTTGATTGTTTGAGACAGGTTCTCTCTGTAGCTCCCTGTAGTCTGGTCTACATAGTAAGTTCCAGGCCAGCTGGGAACTTGATATGTAGACCAGGCTGGCTTCAAACTCACAGAATTTTGCCTGCCTCTGCCTCCCAAGTGCTGGGATTAAAAGCATTCACCACCACACTAGAAGAGTCATGTCAGAGTTGGTCCACATACACTAGTCTCAATGGGCAGGGTGGACTTGGGGGAGGGGCACTGAAGCAAACCCTAGGCTCCCAGGAATTTGGGATAGCCCCATTGGAGCCACCATGGCCACCACAGCCCAGCTGAGAGACTGGACACCTGAATTCAACTCTAGGCCATGCACTATTCACTAGGGGCCTTCAGAAAGCCATCTTTTTCTGCTTTCCCCACCTGTAATAAATCATTTAGTCACTCCTCGATATTGGAGGGCTGCTTCTCCAGTTTCCAAGGGCCTTGGCATATGGCAATTTGGAGGAGGAGGCCCAGAGAGGATGCCGCCTGCCTGGGTGTCTTGCCTCACATTCCTTCCTCTCTGTCCCCAGGTTGGGCGCGCCGTTAGGCACCTTCCATGCTAGTCTGCTGCACTGCCTGCTGCCCCAGTTAAGCAGTCCTCGCCTGGCGGTGCGCAAGCGTGCTGTAGGGGCACTTGGTCACCTGGCGGCTGCCTGCAACACTGACCTCTTCGTGGAGCTGGCTGACCACCTGCTAGACCGGCTGCCTGGCCCCCGTGCACCTGCCAGCCCCGCAGCCATCCGCACACTAATCCAGTGTTTGGGCAGTGTGGGCCGCCAGGCTGGCCACCGCCTTGGTAAGAGGGCGGGGCAGGGCTAAAGCTGGGTGGGGCTTGATGGGTATGGGCGGGGCTCTAGCCTAGTGCAAACTGATTTTCCTTGGAGGGGGCTCAGTCAGTGCAAACTGACTTTCCTTGGAAGGGACTCAGTCAGTCACTTCCATGGCCTTGAGGTTCAGGGATAGTTACAAATCATGACATCAAACCATTATATAAAATGTGTTCCATCTTCTATTTTAACAAGTACACCTTAATAACCTGTGAGCCAGGTTTGAGTTTTTTTAAACTATTGAGGATAATACATCCATAGTTAGCCACAGTGTTTAATATGTACTCCAGCAAATTTTGGGTTTTATGCATACTTGTGAACCCACACCACAGTCAAGATGCCCAGCATTTCCATCACATACACACCCTTTTCCATTCTGGCCTTTGCTTTGTCTCAGACAGTCACTCAGTTGTGGAGTGGGCTGCATACTAGAACAAAGCAATGTGGGTAATCAGGATGACCAAGCCCCTCCAAATTCCTGGCTCTCACCCAAAGGGATTCTGCTAGCAGCCACTCCTTGACCACACTAGGGAGCATGGATCTGAGAAAGAGGCCTGTGCAGGCTTAGACTAGGGCTCAGGGTTGATTGAGCAGGAATAGAGTCTAGAAAGGGTGTTGGGGGGTCTCCAGGTCAGTATGTTCATTCTTGTGCTGTGGGAAGAGCATAGCTGGAAGAGGGCTGGTGCATCCTCTAAAACATAGAGATAGACCAGCAGGGGCCCTTCTTGCATTACTCCCCCTTCGTTCTATCTGTGACTGACATGCTAGTGTGGGAATAAGACCCAGCCCCAAAAGTGGCCCAGCCTCACATGCTGCTTACTGCATGCTCACTCTGCTATGGGCTTACTCTGCAGGGACCCAAGCTAAGGTCTGTCTGTATTGTGTTGTTCATTGGTCTCTATACTTTGGTGATCAGTAGACTGAGTCAGGAAGACTTGTGAGTTGCCTACAGCCCCATTATACATAGGTAGCCAGCAGGCTAGACCCCAGTCAGCTTGCCCATGAAGCCTCTGAGTTGAATTTGCCTTGTGTGGCCAGAAGTACAAGGTCAGAGTAAGGCTGAGTGTTATGAATTGGTTACCTGGGGAAGGTTTGGCCGCTTCAGTGACCTCTTGGCCTTGCAGGGGCCCACCTGGACCGCCTGGTGCCCTTAGTGGAAGAATTCTGCAACCTGGATGACGATGAACTCCGGGAGTCCTGCCTCCAGGCCTTCGAGGCCTTCCTGTGGAAGTAGGTGCCAGGGTTGTGCTGGAAGACAGGCCTAGTAACTCAGTGGAGAGGGTTGGGGGACAGGATGCCAGCCTCAAAGCAGTTAGACCTTGGGGCTCATTTTGGGATCCCATCCTCACCCTGCCCTGCTGGGGTCCATTAGAACCTCCCCTCCTTGTCCTACAGGTGCCCCAAGGAGATGGGCCCTCATGTGCCCAATGTGACCAGCCTCTGCCTCCAGTACATGAAGCATGACCCCAACTATAATCACGACAGTGATGAGGACGAGGAGCAGATGGAGACCGAGGACAGCGAATTCAGTGAGCAAGGTAGGTGGACAGCCTGTTGTGGAGAACAGCAAGGGACAGTGACCAAAGTTAGCCCCATGCTCTGGCTTCACAGATCTCAGGAAAGAAGGCAGTGTCATTATATCCAGCCCAGTGTCTGTAGGATGAACTAACCAGGATCAAAAGTACTTGGGAGAGAAATGTGCCAACACTCAGCATGTAGACAGTGACTGTGTCATCAGATACTAAGCCATTGGATTCTGGTATTTGAGGGTGGGTTCTAGAACCAGGCTCCCGCAGGTACCAAAAAATGGCTCTAATTGTCACCAAACATCCACTGGTATTCTAAGTTCTCTGATCTCATGTTCCCCATAGTGACCCTAAAAACTCAGATATGATTATCATATTTCAGATAAGGAAACAGAGAAAACACTAGGAAGTGACGTAGCCAGGACCTGCGCCAGCTCTGACAGACACCTACCTCCAAGCCACCATTTTTATAAATGGTTTTCAGGACAATGCTTTTAGCCTAACCAGGAAAGCCAGAGATGAAAAGATAGGCACTGAGAGACGGTAGGTCCAGGTGGAGAATGGGCTCAATGGCTTCTTTCCTCTGTTCCTGGAGTCCTCTTCATCTCTCAGATCTCTAAGGTAGAGAGTATAGGTGGAGACAAGCAACTTAGGACCTCATGCAGACTTGAAACAAATTCAAATGGGCATCCCAGAAGCTTTGAATGCCAAGCCAGGAATTGAACATTTTCTTGCCAGCAATAAGGAGCTGTGGATGCTTCTTCAGGGGTGGTACAGGTACATTAGAGGGAATATCTGTTGAGCTGACCAGTGGATGCTGCCCATTATGGCTCACCCTGATTTGTGTGCCATGGGAGTCTCAGTTGTCAACAGTGGCACAGTAGGAGCTCCCGGTCTCAGATCCTGGGCCAAGGGATGCTGCTGGTCAGGTTCACACCCTTCAGTCCTCATATGTCTCCCCTAGTGAGATGGGTGGGCCTGGTTCTCAGCTTTCAGTTTTCTAGCTATGTGCCCTTAGGAGAGTTTCTTACACTCTCTCTGAGCCTTGGTCTTGACATCTAAAAATGGGGTCAGCAGTCCCTTTGTTTCTGAGGGGGTGGTAGACTTGTGGTCTGCTACCTCTCAGGGTCTATAAAGAAGGAGGTCATACAGACCCATTCTTTCTTTGGCGTTTGCTTTGCTTGAATACCTTCGAAATCAGGACTCTTGAGAGACTATGACTAGGTTAGGGAAAAGACCACAGGAAGGTGGCCTCCCTTTGGAAATCCCAGTAAGTGAAACATCCAGGCCTGAAGCCAGGAGGTGACTTGAGCCCAAGATGGCATCTCTGAGTCTCCATTGCAGACATAGGGTCCATGTTATCTTTTGTGAGGGAGGGCAGGGTCTTACTGCGTAGCCCACACTGGTCTTGAACTCCTGATCCTCCTACCCCATCTCTCAAGTGCTGGATTACAGGCCTGAGGCAGCACACTCAGCCTACTTTTTCCCTGCTGTAGTCAGACAAGGGTCTGAAGACAGAGGAAGGGCTGTAAATGTTTGCTAAAGCTGCTTCCTGTCTCTAGGCTCCAGTTCTGTTCTCTACAATGGGGAACAGCCCCTGCCCCAAAAGGGTGCCATGAGGCTGAAATGAGAGTGTGGATTGAAGGGCTTGCCATTCCTAGCCCACCTCAGGTTGGATGGCATTCCCAGGAAGGTGCCAATAGTGATTTTCAGAAGGCGAAGTCCAGGGTAGGGATTCTGCTGCCATCCTCCCTGGGCTGGGAGACAAGGCTCCAGGTGTCTTATTCTTGCTCAGAGAGTGAAGATGAGTACAGTGATGATGACGACATGAGCTGGAAGGTTCGCCGTGCAGCGGCCAAATGCATGACAGCCTTGATCAGCTCACGGCCCGACCTGCTGCCCGACTTCCACTATACCTTGGCGCCCACGCTTATCCGCCGCTTCAAGGAGCGGGAAGAGAATGTCAAGGCAGACATCTTCACAGCTTATATCATGTTGCTGCGACAGACAAGGCCCCCTAAGGGATGGCTGGAGGCTGTGGAGGAGCCCACCCAGACAGGCAGCAACCTCAACATGCTGAGGGCACAGGTGGGCCATGCCCTCTCCCACTCTCCCTCCCTCCTCCCCGGTTATAACCCCTCCATCCCTGCCCCTCCACCTCCGCACTTCCCATCTCTCCCCCTACTGAGGGGTATGGAGTGGGCACCTGCTCAATGCCTGGCCTGGGTGCTGGGTACTAGAACACAGTAGAACATTCAGATTGAGTCCCTAGCCCTGGTCTGCTTGGGACACATGGGCAACAATACAGGTGGGCTTCCAGAGCAAGAACGAGTTCTTTCATTCTAAGAGCAAGCAACCTGGAAGAGTGGCAGGATCTGATCCACTTTGAAAAGTTCTCTGGCTGCTGGGTGGAGAATGGATTATTAATAGGACAAGAATCCTAGCTAGGGACCAACAGGAGGACATTGCAACTGCATCCAGGTAACAAGAGACGGCACCTTTTCCTCAGTGTTAGCAGAGGGATTGAGAGGAATAGTCAGGCCTGAAAAGTAGGGTTTGAGCTGAATCATTGGATCTTGTTGATGATGGGTTGGATGTGTCTTAGACAGGCAGGTATCAGTTGACTTCTAGGTCTACTGGGATAGGAGACACTGAGGAACCGGTGTCCTATACATAAATGTATAGACCAGACTTCTTTTTTTTTTAATTTTTATTTTATGTGTATGAGTATATTGCCTGCATGTGTGCACCTGTGTCGTGCAGTCCTGCAGAGGTCAGAAGAGGGCTTCGGATTCCCCTGGAACTGGAGTTAAGGACAGTTCATAGCTGCCATGCAGGTGCTGGGAATCGAACTCAGGTCCTCTGCAAGAGTAGTCAGTGCTCTTAACCACTGATCCATCTCCAACCCCTAGACCAGACTTCTATACATTTATGTTTAAAGACCTTATTGGCTGTAAGTAGTGTATTTTCTGTCATTATAATAAAATGCCAGAGGCTGGGTCCCTACTAAGAAAAGAGGCTTATTTGACTCAGGTTTGAAACACAGTGTCCAAATAGCACGGTCCCTTCCCTAGAGAGGATTGCCTAGCTGTGTGATGTCATGACGGGTAGCATCGTGGCAAGAGTGTGTATAAGTTAAATGATCGATGCTGACACAGGAAGCCACCAAAGAGAAGGACTAAGATCTTACTTGTTAGTGGCCCTGTCCATTAGAACTACTCCTTCTAGTGACCGTCCACTAACTCTACCTCTTCAAGGTCCCACCCCTAGTACCACCACACCAGGGACCAAACTCACAATATCATGAGTCCTTGTATGCACAAACCTTATCCAAACCATAGCAGATACCTAGGTTGAGCCACTAGACAGGCAGAAGATGCGTGAGTCAAATTGGAGATGCAGGTCTGGGTGGTGTTAGTATCCTTCCTGTGATGGGACCAGGAAGGCTTCAACTTCTCATGGAGATGGTGATGACAGCCAGGCTGCCTGGGTCACTTTGAACCAGTTCCTTGTCTACATTTACAAGATGGAAGCTGTAGTCATTCTGTGTCTGGAATCTGAATCAGGTGACTGGCACAGAGAGTGATGGGTACTGAGGTGTTCTGTCCACACTGGTGTCCTCCTCGGGGGAGGCTTCCTGGCCTGGTTCCTGATCACCCAACCTGCCCACAGGTGCCCCTGGTTATGAAGGCTCTGCAGCGACAACTTAAGGATCGGAATGTGCGGGTCCGACAAGGCTGCTTCAGCCTCCTCACCGAGCTGGCAGGTGTCCTCCCTGGCAGCTTGGCAGAGTACATGCCCATGCTGGTGTCAGGTAGGCTGGGCTACAACCTGGTGTGTACTCTTTGGGCTTTTTTCCGAAAAACAGACCCCTGCCCAATATTGAGCCCTTACTCCCTGAGAGCCTGGGCCACCATCCTGGGTTGAACCCTGTGCAGTGACAGCCCACAGTGCCTCCCCTTTGTCTACAAGGAGAGCAAGTCCTGGCCTTGTTTCCCTCAGCCTTGGCCTCTGGCCAAGCTGTGACCTCTGGGGACTTCTGTGAGAGTTTTGGCTACTTTGGTTCAGTGTGGATGCCTGTGGTCACTACATCCCCAGGCTGGGTCAGGGTCTTTACCCCATAACCTTTGTTCCCACCTGAAGGCATTGTCTTCTCGCTGGCTGACCACTCCAGCTCCTCTACCATTCGGATGGATGCCCTGGCCTTCCTGCAGGGACTGTTAGGTACAGAACCGGCTGAGGCCTTCCACCCACACCTGCCCACCCTTCTGCCACCTGTGATGGCCTGCGTGGCAGATCCTTTTTACAAGGTGGCAGCTGATGCCTTGCTGGTGCTGCAGGAGCTGGTGAGGGCTCTGTGGCCGCTGAACAGGCCTCGGATGCTGGATCCTGAGCCCTATGTTGGAGAATTGTCCACAGCCACCCTGGCACGACTCCGTGCTACTGACTTGGACCAGGAGGTGAAGGAGCGGGCCATCTCCTGTGTGGGCCACCTTGTAGGCCACCTGGGCGACCGGCTTGGGGATGACCTGGAGCCCACACTACTGCTTCTCCTGGACCGCCTGCGAAATGAGATCACCCGGCTGCCTGCTGTCAAGGCGCTGACTCTGGTGGCTGTGTCCCCATTGCAACTTGACCTGAAGCCCATCCTGGCTGAGGCGTTGCCCATCCTGGCATCATTCCTGCGCAAGAATCAGCGGGCACTGCGGCTGGCCACACTTGCTGCCTTAGATGCCCTGGCTCAGAGTCAGGGACTCAGCCTGCCTCCACCAGCCGTACGGGCTGTGCTGGCTGAGCTGCCGGCTCTGGTCAGTGAGAGTGATATGCATGTGGCCCAACTGGCTGTAGACTTCCTTGCCACAGTGACCCAGGCCCAGCCGGCCTCTCTGATAGAGGTCAGTGGACCAGTGCTGGCAGAGCTACTGAGATTGCTGCGCTCACCCCTGTTGCCTACTGGAGTGCTGACTGCCACAGAAGGCTTCCTGCAAGCACTGGTGGGGACCCGCCCCCCATGTGTGGAGTATTCTGAGCTCATCAACCTGCTCATTGCACCTGTTTATGACCAGGCTAGGGATGCGGGACCAGGCCTGCACAAGCAGGTGTTCCACTCACTGGCTCGGTGTGTGGCAGCCCTCTCAGCTGCCTGTCCCCAGGAGGCAGCAGGCACTGCCAGCCGCCTGGTCTGTGATGCCAGGTCGCCCCACTCAAGCACGGGGGTCAAAGTCTTGGCCTTTCTGTCACTGGCTGAGGTGGGCCAGGTGGCTGGGCCAGGCCCCCAGAGAGAGCTGAAGGCAGTGCTCCTGGAAGCCTTGGGGTCTCCCAATGAGGATGTGAGGGCTGCAGCTGCCTATGCCCTGGGCCGTGTGGGTGCTGGCAACCTGCCCGACTTCCTGCCTTTCCTGCTGGCACAGATTGAGGCAGAGCCCCGGCGGCAGTACTTGCTGCTGCATGCACTCAGGGAGGCCCTGGGGGCCTCCCAGCCTGACAGTCTGAAGCCCTATGCAGAGGACATCTGGGCACTGCTCTTCCAGCGCTGTGAGAGCCCGGAAGAGGGCACACGAGGTGTGGTGGCTGAGTGCATTGGGAAGCTGGTGCTTGTGAACCCTCCTTTCCTCCTGCCTCGATTCCGGAAGCAGCTTGCTGCAGGTAAGGGAACAGGTATAGCCAGAGCTGGCCCAGCAGGAAGTGGACACTTGACCCCCAAGCATTCACACATCTTACTGGGGATGAGAGTCACATGTCTGTCCATTCAGACGCAGAAATAGAAAGTACTTCCTGGGACTTACAGCCTTCCTCCTGTGTGGCTTCTAGGGTAGAGGGAAACAGTCTTTGATGTGCCTCCACCTCAAACATCCCTCTCATTCAAGGTTTCTGCACCACAGATTTAACCAACCTGGATCAAAAATATCCCAAGAAAATATTTTCTGTGCTGAACTCATGCAGACTTGTCTTTATTTCCTTTTTCTAAAAAACATTTTCGTGTGTATGTACACACGCATGCATGTACCATGGCATGCATGTTGAGGTCAGAGGACAACTTGGAGGAGTCGTTTTCTTTTATTATGTAGGTCCCAGGGATTGAACTCAGGTCATCAGGCTTGGCAGGAAGTGCCTTTATAGCAAGAGCCATCTCACCAGACCTTTAGCCTAAACAATATAGAATAACAACTATTGGCATGTCAAGTATTGTAAAGAATGTAGAAAAGACTGGAAGGATATGTATAAGTTCTGTGCAAACTCCACACTGTTTTGTAAATGGACTTGGGCATCATTGGCTTAGTATCCACAGAGGTCCTGGGATGTGTCCCCCAAGGACACTAAGACAGTAGGGTTTCAGATGCCACTAGGATTATAGTCGTATAATCCTATAGCTAGAATGTCCTACCTACTTGGGAGACTGAGGCAGAAGGATTATGACCTCAAGGCCTACCTGGTTACAGAGCAAATTTAAAGCCAGCTTGGGTAACCTAGTGAGACCTAGACTTGAAAGAAAGAAAGGGGCAGGGGAGGAGAGGAAAGAAAAGGCAATGGGGCTGTAGCTCATTGTGTACCTAGTTTATACGGGGCCCTGGGTTTCATTCCTAGCTACACACACACAAAAGTGGGATATGTTTCATGATGCCATTTTCATAATCCTGGCTGGGACACAAGCTGTGTTAGTTTTCTCATTGCTGTGATAAAATATGTGACAGAACAACTTTAGAGAGGAGAGGTCTATTTTGGCTCAGTTTAAAGGGAACATTCAGTCTTGGAGAGGAAGGCATGGTGGCAGGAGCAGCTTGGTCCATGGCAGCAGGAGCTTGCAGTGTGACTTGTTCACATCTTGGTGAATTAGGAAACAACTCAGGCTGGAATCACAGCTCTGACAAGGCTCACCTTCAGCAGCCTACTTCTACTAGCCAGACCCCATGTCCCAAATGTTGTACAACACCCCCCGCAACACACAGCACCACCAGCTGGGGACCAAGTGTTCAAAACACAGGAGCCTATGGAGGGCATTTCAGATTGAAACCACACAACTCACTGAATGCTTCAGGCAAAAGTTAAAGCAGTTCTCTGAGGACTGGGAATGTGGCTCAGTTGTGTTTGCCTAGCATATACGAAGCCCTGTTCATAGTGACACACACCTGTAATCTTAGCATTTGGGAGGTGGAGGCAGGAAGACCAAAAATTCCAAGTCATTCTCAGCTATATAGTGAGTTTGAGGTCAGCTTGGGGTACATGTGATTCTATCTAAAAAATAAAAAAGAACAGTGTAGAAGCAGCAGCTCATTGAGGGACTGGAGGCTGCAAAGGTACAAAGAGCAAATGCTAGGGAATCCAGGGCTTTTGTGACATGCCCTTGAGGTTTGGCAAGGATCAGGAGCAGTCAGGAGGGCACATCCTGTCAGACCTCCCTCAGAAGCTAGGCAAGCAAATTGTGGGCTCTGGCTCCTAGGAAAAGATCTCCAGGCTTTGAGTAGTGTAGTGGCTGACAAGGTACAAATACAAGGTACAAGTCCTGCTTACCACAGAGCAGGGAGAAACAGGATTTGTCATAGGTCCCAGCACAGGCCTACTTGGGCTGTCAGGCTGGGCAGAAGCAGCTGCCTGGCCCTCACCACAAATGGACGGCATTGAAGACATTGTCACATTATTGGTGGAATCTTGATAGAGTCTCAAGATGAGGAAGGACCATGCTTTTTCTAGGCACCAATTTCCTTGCACAGGGTAACAACCAGCTAACATGCCAAATCTCTGAAGCTGAGGGCCTAAATTTGTTTTTGCAGTGCTGGGAACCCAACTCAGGGCTGCTTAGCACATGCTCTACCCCTGAGGTACATCCTTCGGCCCAAATTAGTGACTTGCTTCTAGAAAGTTCTAGGACTTCCTGGATGGCTGTTTGCATGCCTATCCTTGTCTCCATCTCCCTTTTCTGCCCATGTGGTTTCCTTGCCTTGGTTTACTGAATCCTAGCAAGCAGTTCAGGGGATCTGAACATGGATCCTCATCCTTAGCCATGTCCCCTTCCTTTCTCCAGATACTCCACTCAGAAAGCCAGCAGCAAAATGCAATGAAGCAAGTCTTTGTGACTGAGCTTGGGGGAGGTCTGAGGTCTGTGGGAATATCCTTGCCTGCCACAGTGTCCCTTGTTGCCTGCTGGGGACCTTGGGCTCAGGAGAGACCTAGCTGAGAATTCTGGGTCAGCTGTGTAGCTTCAAATGTGAGCTAAGCCTCTCTTTCCTTGTGTAGAAAACAGATTGATGGTCTTTCTTAGTCATTTCTTTGTTTTGTTTTTGAGGCAAAAATCTCACTTTGTTGCCCAGGCTAGCCTTGAGCTCATGAAGATTCTGAGTCCTTGGTTTGACAGTCAAGCACCACAATGCCTTCTTAAAACAATTCGTTGTTTTAACGAATATTTTATTATTATGTGTCAACAGAACTATTGTGAAGTTGAACTGAGAGAATGTCTGAAACACCCAGTGTAGTCTCAGCCTAAGGGCAGATCTTTTTTTTTTGGTCTTTTTGAGGCAGGGTCTCCTTGTAGCCCCAGCTGGCCTGGAACTCACTGTGTAGACCAGGCTGGCCTTGAACTCACAGAGATCCACCTGCCTCTGCCTCCCAAGTGCTGGGATTAAAGGTGTGCGCCACTCTGCCCGGCATGGGCAGATCTTACTTCTGGGACCTGGTGTTCCATTGACACCTGCAGGGTGGGCCCAAGACCCAGCCATTTACTCCCCCAACTGCAGAAGGAAGAGTTAGGCAGATTGCAAGCTGCTAAGGGGAATGACTGCATGGTCTTCCTGGAGGGGATTGTTTCTCCGATGGAGGAGTAGACTTCTGTGTTTTGCTGGCCACAGGTCTCCAGCTTGACCCCACCCCTTCCCTACACTGTTGCCTCTCATCCTGCAGGTCAGCCATACACCCGCAGCACAGTCATCACTGCCGTCAAGTTCCTCATTTCGGACCAGCCACACCCTATTGACCCCCTCCTGAAGAGTTATATCGGTGAGCCTCCCCAACTTCCTGTCTTGGCCACAGCCAGTACCCTCCACCCCATCCTGGAGCTTGGCTGGGACTCCTTACAAATTAGCCAAGGGAGTCAGATTCAAAGGCCACTCACCCTGTAATGGACAGCAGGGCCTGACTCTCAAGTGAGGAGACCTGCCTTCAAATTCCTGTGTTACCACCAAATCTGGATAGGCCTGGCATCCCCCTTCCTATGGCTGAGTCTCATTTCCTCTGACCTGGCTGGCCTCCAACCTCATTTCCCTTTTTTCTTTCTTCAAAGATTTATTTTTATTTCATGTGTATCAGTGTTTGCCTGCATGTATGCCCCACATGTGCCATGCCTATAGAGGCCAAAAGAGAGCGTCGGATCCCCTGGTACTGGAGTTACAGGCAGTTGTGAGCACCATGTGGGTGCTGGGAACTGAACCCAGGTCCTGTGTGAGAGGAGCCAGTGCTCCTAATCACTGAGCTATGGCTCTAGCCACTCTTCCTCTGTCTGGATGAGCTATAGTGGCTACCATGCCTAGGGGCCGCCACTGGTAGGTTTCAGTTTTGCCATAGTGTGGTTTGGTTGGGTTTTTTGGGTTTTGTTTTTTGTTTTCCTTTGGCTAATTTTTTTTTAATTTTTTAATATTTTATTTCCATTTAATATGTATGAGTGTATTGCCTGCCTGTATTTAAGTGTACCTGTGGCATGCAATTCTCGTGGAGGTCAGAAGAGAGTGTCCAATTAATTCCCCTGTAACTGGAGTTGGACAGTTGTTAGCCACCATGTAGGCACTGGGAATTGGGCCCAGGTCCTCTGCAAAAGCAGTCAGTGCTCTTAACCACTGAGCCATCTCTCCAGCCTTGGTTGTTCTGTTTTGTTTTTTGAGACAGGGTCTCATGTAACCCAAGCTGGACTCAAACTTACTTTGTAGCTAAGGATAACCTTGAACTCCTGATCCTCCTGCCTTTACTTCTCAATGCCAGGATTTCAGGCACCTCAAATTTTCTTAGTGTGTTTGACCCTCAGTTTTTGAGCTCTCTGAATTGGGTAGCGTGTAATGCCCTTTGATACAACACATCATAGTTAATTCTCATAGCCCTAACATGATAGAGAGCATGGGCCCCATTTCACAGATAAGGAAATGATGAGTTTCAAGAGAAGATTAAGACTTGTCGGACTCCCTTGCTGTGTTCTCACTGAGACAGAACAGGAGCCAGTGTGGCACAGTGGAAAGGGTCACAAGGTCCCCAGTGTTATTAAGTCCTGCTCTACTGGGGGACTGCAGTTCCTCCCAGTGGGACACACCAACGGTCCTATGACAGCAATGTGTCCTGTGATTGATGATGGTCACCTGGTTGTAGTGGAGCTTGCCAGGTTTCTGTACTCTGGGAGTTATTTTTTCTGGTTGAGGTTCAGTGGTAGAGCATTTTCTTAGTATGTGCAAGGCCCTAGGCTCCATTCCCACCATTCTTCCAGAATAAGTAGAAAATGGTCAAAGTTCTCAAAAGTAAACTGTTCAAAAAGCCTATTCTCAGGAAGGTGACACTCGCCTGTCCTGCACTCGAGACCTAGGCAGGAAGAACCTGAATTGAAGGCCAGCCTGGGATGTGCAGTGAGGCCGTCTCAAAACAAAACAGAATCTTTCTGCTGTGCTGGCACTCTGCCCTGTGCTTCATAGCCACTGTCACATCCTTAATCCTAATATTGTGCTGCTGAATAGGGCATCGAGGTTGTCCACATAGTGAGAAGCCAGGCAGTCTTATGTGGACTTTGAGAGTGGCTGTGCCTGGTATAAAGTAGATGTTCAGGATCTGTCCACCCCTCAGCCTACACTGCTCAGGTCACCAAGGTGTACTGCAGAGGTGACTTTGTGTCCTATCTATGTCCCTCTTTGTTCCTGCAGCAGAGTTCATGGAGAGCCTGCAGGACCCAGACCTGAATGTACGCCGGGCCACACTCACCTTCTTCAACTCAGCCGTGCACAACAAGCCCTCACTGGTCCGGGACCTGCTGGATGAGATCCTGCCCCTCCTCTACCTGGAGACCAAGATCCGCCGGGATCTCATCCGAGAGGTGCAGAATAGCACGGGTGCCTGGCATGACCCAGCCCCTTGTTAGTTGTCCCCTTGAGCCTCTTGTGCTTTGCTAGCAGGACTAGGATAAAATCTCCCCACACAGGTGCCAAGGGCACATGGCCATGATCATACCATGCCCTTCACTTTCCCAGGAGTGTGGCCCAGCCAGGGCCACTCAGTGCCCTCTGAATCTGTTTCTCCTAGAGATAAATGAGGACAATCACCATGTCTGCACCTCAGGGCTGGTATGGCATGGGATGAGGGATAAGCCCCTAAGTGCTTACTACAGCCATGGTGCTCACTGGCACAGGGTCAGGTTGAACATCCCAGTCTCCAAAACCAAGTGCATAAAAGTATTGAGCACAAGCATGATGCTACCTATGACCTCTTAGGTCAGGTCACAGTAAAAATGCAGACAACTTTATAAATGTCTGAAAATGCCTCTGGCTGTGTAGAAGGTGTTTAAGAAACATAAATGAATTCTGTGTTTAGACTTAGGTTATGACATCTCCGTGATGTCTTTATGGATATGTAAATATTCCAAAATCCAAACGCAAAAAACAAAACCCAAGTCTACAAACCAGTGGTCCCAAGCATTTGGACTGTTGTGTCAACAATTCTTGTCATTCAGCCAGAGTAAGTCCCAGGACACAGCCATACTTGGCTCTGCCACTAAGGAGCTCAGCCTTGTGTCCAGGAGAGCAGCATTTACTGACAGCCCAGATGGCAGATGAGGGTTTAAGGGGCATAAAGTCAAGGTGATTGACAGCTAAGTCATCATACCATGCCACCCAAAGGTCTGAGGAGGAAGCAACTCTCTTTAGAGGGATAGGAAAAGTTTTCAAAAGAAAAGTATTTGAGTTTTGAGGCGTGAATAGGAATTTACTGTTAAAAGCAGGATCTCATGGTTAAAAGCTTCAGAGACTTGGGTCTCCGAGTCCGATTCTGCCATTTACCAGCTGTGTGTCCCTGAGCATGTTAATTAACCTCTCTAGCCTTAGTTTCCTTGTATGTTGAGTGGGATTGTAACAGCACTTTTTTCCTAAGGTTCTCTTGTTTTTTTTTCTTGCAACAGGATCTTATGTAGTCCAGGCTATATAGCTGAGAATAACCTTGAATTCCTAATCCTCTTGTTTCTTCCTTTCAAGTGCTGGAATTACAGGCATGTGCCACTACACTTTGTTTTTGTGGTGCTGGAGATCAAACCCAAAGCTATATGTATGCTAGGCAAGCACTCAACCAAATGAGACACATCCTCAGATCTTCCTAAGGTATTTTTAATGCTTGAGTAAGATGTTCCCCATGATGCCTGACACTGCCTGCTCAGCAGATATGAATAGGAGAAAGGGCACTGCAGGCTGAGCAGAGGCCTGAGGCGAGAGCATGAGGTGTGACTTGGGGCTAGGTGTGACTTAGTGCAGAGTAGGTGGGGGTGAGTTGCAGGAACTAGGGGAGGAACTCTGCTCCCCGGGGCTGCAAACCTGTGTGCTTCCCTCCTGCAGGTGGAGATGGGGCCCTTCAAGCATACTGTGGATGATGGGCTGGATGTGCGGAAGGTGGCCTTTGAGTGTATGTACTCACTGCTTGAGAGCTGCCTGGGCCAGCTGGATATCTGCGAGTTTCTAAACCACATAGAGGATGGGCTGAAGGATCACTATGACATCAGGGTAGGACAAGCCCCTGACAGACCCAGGCCTAGCCCAGGGCAAGGGGAGCCAGTTGCCCCAAGCTTGTTTGTCTGTACTCCAGGAACCCCACAAAAGCAGCTATGCCAACACTTTGTGTCAAGAACAGGGAGCCAGGTCTCAGACATTTCTCATGGAGCACGCCCAGCATGCTAGATCCAGGCCTATTGACGTGTTTAGGTGACTTTACAGTTTTTACTTTGTGTAGATTTAAGTGTTATCAACAACTACAAATCAAAGAGATTTGGGACTAAGAGATGGTAGCACTTGCTGCTCTTGCAGAGGACCCAGGTTCAGTTCCCAGCACCCACACCGTGACCTACAACCATCAATAACTCCAGTTCCAGGGGATCCAAAGCCCTCTTCTGGAGGCACTAGGCACATGCAGGCTAAACTTTCATACACATAAAAATAAAAAATAAATTTTTAAAAAAGCTTAGCCAGACATGGTTGCACATACTTTTTTGTTGTTGTCTTTTTGAGATGGGGTCTTCTTGTAGCCTCAACTGGCCCAGAACTCTCTATGGAGGCCAGGCTGGCCTTGATCTCATAGAGATCTGCCCACCTCTGCCTCCTGAGTGCTGGGAACTCAGAAGGATCTCCGAGATCAAGCCCAGCCTGTTCTCCATAGTGATTTCCAGGCCAGCCAGGGCTATCAGGAGACTCTGTCTTAATAGGTAGGTAGGTAGGTAAACAGTTTTTTAAAAATCAAGAGATTTTACCTGAAAATAGGGATTCCTTTTGAAAACATCCTATCAATGCTAGGTACAGTCCCACACTTTTTTATTGTATTAGTCTGTTTTCTGTTGCTATAGCAAAATGACCTGTGGCAGGTATGCTATAAGAAAGGGTTTGGGGCTGGTAAAATGGCTCAGTTGTTAAAAACCCATGCTCCTTTTGCAGAGGACCCAGATTCTGTTCTCAGCACCCATATTAGATAGCTCACAGCCACTTGTAACTCCAGCTCCAGGGAATCTGATGCCTTGGCCTCCAAGGGCACCTGCATTCATGTAAAACACACACACATATTAACTAAAACTTTAGGAATTAGGGGCTGAAGAGATGGCTCAGCGGTTAAGAGCACTGACTGCTCTTGCAGAGGACCTGGGTCCGATTCCCAGCGCCCACATGGCAGCTACAAACCATCCTTAACTCCAGTTCCAGGGGAATCCGACACCCTCTTCTGACCTCGGCAGCATTGCACGACAGGTGCACTCACATACATGCAGGCAATACACTCATACACATCAAATAAAAATAATATATTAAAAAAACTTTAGGAATTATTAAAGGTTTGTTTAGCTCACTATGTGGAGGTTCTGAGTCTGTTGTTGGAGTCTGCTAGGCTCTGGTGGCCTCACATTGGTTGGCATCACAGTGACAGGAGCCATGCAGAAGTGCTCACATGGTGAAGAGAGTGGAGTGAGGCATATTCTTTTTACAGTTTGCTCTCATGGGAACCCAGTTCCTCTGGGAACTAATTAACCCTTCCAAGGCGAGCACGCCCAACGACCTAAGCAGACTCTCCTGTCGAAGGCGCATCACCTCTCTGTGTTGCTAAACCAGGGACCAGTCTTCCAGTACATGAACTTTGGGGGGACACTCTCAAGCCAGTCTGAACTGTTCCATCTCCTGAGCCACTGTCAGCAGGAACTGTGAGCTCTGTACTTGGAGCACAGGCCCCCTGCTCCTTCCCGCCCCATGTGGCTTCCTCACTGCCTGCCCCTCCCTAATGCCTATTACTCAGTACTGTCCTGCACAGCTAAGAGTGGCTGGCAAAGCTCAGTATCATCATTTACATCTTCTAGAGGAGGACACGGGCTCAGAGTGGGAGAGCCTCAGGCAGGGTCCCAATGGGACTTGGTGCTGGTTTGGACTTGGTTGCAGGGTTCTCTTCCCTTGGGTCTGCTGTTCTGTTCTCCCGCCATTTCACTGAGCTCTGTCTCATTTCTCATGCAGATGCTGACCTTCATCATGCTGGCCCGGCTGGCCACCCTGTGTCCTGCACCTGTGCTGCAAAGGGTGGACCGACTCATGGAACCGCTCAGAGCCACCTGCACAGCCAAGGTACACTAAGACCTTGTCCTGCCTTGGCTTGAGCCTTAGAGCATCTGCTGGGTTACCACCTGCTGGGCACCATGTGCACAGCAGTGATGGGTCAGCAGCTTCCTTCTTCCCCACCTTTGCCCTAGAAGCTTCTGTTGCACTGGCTACACAGCTGGCAAATTGAAGATCCAGCTTCACACAGGGGATTCCTTCATTTAACACTGCCTGGGTGCTGGGTCGTGAGGTACCAAGGGTGTGACATTCAACTGGCTTCCCTACAGAGTCCACTCAGATCCCAGTTGGGAAGCTAGGTCTGACTTTTGTGATTGATTGGCCAATTAGAGCAGAGTCACTGCTCACATTGAGTGTCTCACGGTCTTGAGGGGACTTGGAGTGAAGCCCTTATGGAAAGCTGCAGTGCTGGGAACAGCCTGGCATGCTCAGGGCCCCAATGAAGACCTGTTGAATGAAAGAAGTCATCTATGTATGTGCTGTACTTGTTCATGTGTGTGCATGTGTGAATACAGGTGAATGTGTTGTGTGCTTGTAGAGGCCAGAGGTTGACTTATTTTTTTTTTTTTAAAAGATTTGTGTGTATGAGTGTTTTGACTGCATATATGTAAGTGCCCCTGTGAGTTCAATGCCTGTGGAAACGAGAAGGGATTGGATCCCCTGCAGCTTGAGCTATGTGGGTGCTAGAAACCAAATCCAGGTCCTCTGCAAGAGTAGCCAGTACTCTTAACTGCAGAGCCATCCAACCCCTCGGTTATCTTTCTTGATCTCTCTCCATCTTTTTTTTTTTTGAGGCAGGGTCTGTGTGTAGCTGTGAATCAAACGAAATTAGGCATTAGTTTGAAATCTACCTATGTTTACAACTTCAAAATTTTTTTTACTTATGCATGTTTTGCCTACGTGTAAGTGCACCTGTGTTGTGCAATACCCATGGAGGCCAGGAGAGGGCATCAGATCCCCTGGAACTGGAGTTTAGGGCAATGGTTAGCCACCATGTGGGTGTTGGGAACCGAAGCTGGGTCCCCCCTACTGAGAGCAGCCAGTGCTCTTAACACTGAGCTATCTCTCTAGTCTCATATATTTATAATTTTTTACACATGGTGGATATCGTCAGTCCAGGCTAAGCAAAAGACACCTCTCCTTGTCTTCTGCAGGTCAAGGCTGGTTCAGTGAAGCAGGAGTTTGAGAAGCAGGATGAACTGAAACGTTCAGCCATGCGGGCAGTGGCCGCCCTGCTCACCATCCCTGAGGTGGGAAAAAGCCCCAGCATGGCTGATTTCTCTGCCCAGATCCGATCCAACCCTGAACTCACTGCCCTCTTTGAGAGCATCCAGAAGGATTCGGCTTCCAGCCCCAGTGTGGATTCCATGGAACTCAGCTAGTCCTCCCTAGCTCAATCACAGGCCTCCCCTCCCATGTTGGCGAGCCTTGGCCTCTCCTGTCCTTCCCAGTCAGCCTCAGTGCCTTTGCTAGGGCCCCCAGCCCATTAATTCAGCAGTCTCAGAGAATTAGGGTCATTTTCACAATGCCACCTTTCACTCTCCCTCCCTTGGGAGTCCTGCTCAGCACACTGTAGTGGGCTCACAGGTGAAACAGGACGTAGGCAGGGGTTGACTTCATACTTCACTTGCTCTGGATTCCAAATGTTTGGCCAGGGGTGGGGCTGTTTAGAGCCCATACAAGCTCTGGGCCCAAGAAACCTGAATCATACTTAGCATGAAATTCAGAATGCTTTAGAAACTCTTGAGTTGTTTATCCTGAGGGTGGGTGGGTAATGGGGACAGGCTTGGGCCTGATGTTTAACCATCTCTAACCTCACCACACAGGCCTAGAGTTAGTTTGTGAATTCTTTAAAGTTTTGAATATATCTTTTTTAGTACTGAAAATTCAAATACAAATGACAGGCCAAAGTGGTTGTGATCTGAAGTTATTCAAAGTTGCTTCTCCCACACATAGCACCCAGTACCTAGATGTTTCAATAGTTCCCAGGTTTAAGGCCAGAGTAAGTAACTTAAGTGAGACCAGCTGGATATAGCTCAATGGCAGAGCACTTGTCTAGAATGCACTAAACCTTTTAAACCCCCAGCACTGCAAAAGTCCTGAAAGTGATTAGTTCACTCCAAATTTAAGTTTTGTATTTGCAGTCTTGTATAGATCAGGCTGGCCTCAAACTCACCACTTAGCCAAGATAACCTTAAACTTCTGATCTCCCATCTCTGCCTCCTAAATGTCTGGGAGTGGTGGTGGAGATCTCTGGGAGTCCAAGGCCAGCCTGGTCTACATAGTGAGCTCCTCTCAAAAAGACCAAAAAAAAAAAAAAAAAAAAAAAAGGGG